ATAGAACCAGTAGTAAAAAGATTTGGATTTCACCACTGATTTCTGGCCTCTAGAGGGCCTCCAGGGAGGGTGGGGAAGGCCGTTTTCACCCTCCCCAGGCTCCTAGAAGGCCTCTGGTGCCTGGGGAGGGCGGGAAATGGGCCTACTGGGCCCACTGTGCCATTGTGTGCCAAAATATTCTATTCTATTCTATTCTATTCTATTCTATTCTATTCTATTCTATTCTATTCTATTCTAAACTCTGAAAACTCAGATTTAGTTCCTTGGAAAACGAAACAAAGGGAGGGCAGATTAATGTAAAAAAAATAACATAAAAGTAAAGTAAAGCAAAATAAAATAAAATATAAACTAAAAATTATAATAAAATAAAATATCAAAATAACTCAGCCCTTTAGCGACAGTATCCAAAAAAACCCCCACCCGTAATTGCTTTGGATAGTGAGATGGGCAGCATATAAATTTAATAAATAAAAGCGGAAGATGGTTCATTTCAGATCCAACCAGGCAGAGCCTGGCAAACTTGCCTGTTTCGCTTCCTAGAATGACTTTGGGCACAGTGACCAATTGACCACTGCTCTTTCAGGGTGCAAAATCAGGTGGGGCCCTTCTTTCTTGGCCTTTTGCAGGCTGCCAAATCTGGTTCTGCTTGGCATTTAAAATGACACGTGGGCCACCGCCTCCCTGCACCGATTGTGTTCAGTTTGCCTTTAGGAAAATCAGGCTGGAATTTAATTTCAGGAGAAGGGGGGGTGTCTTACCCCCCCCTCCCGCCTTCAGGCTGGGAATAAACTTGAAGAGCTCTGTATTTGGCGGGCCACCTACGAGTTTCTATGTGCCATCAATCTCACTAGACCTGAATGCTGCCGTTCTGTGAATTGTCTGAAGGCGCCAGGAAGTTTTAGACTTTTTAAAAAAAAAGAAGAAGAAGAAAAAGAAAAAGAAAGCTTTGTTGACAAGGGTGCAGGTTGTTCCCAGGCTTGGCCACCCAGAATATTTTCAGCCGCTGGATTGCTTTCAAGAAGCATCATCCTTCTTGTCAGAACACCGAGGAAGCAGGAATTGTGTGCAACTCTAAACACTTCCCTCTTTGCCCAAAGCGAATCCATAATAAAACCATCAAATAACACAGCTGGGTCCTTTGAGAGCTGAAAAATGATCTTCCAGGCTGAGACGAAGTTGCCCAAGGTGATTGTTCTTTTCCCAGATAATTTTAGCATCTACTTTTATGCCCAATGCTTCTCCTAAGGCTTGCATTTATTTAGAGGTGATGGTTAGTAATTGCTGGTGGGGGGGTCTAAAGTGGTGGCCTTGTACCTCATTAGCCTCCAAACAAATACACCTTTGGGCACAAACGTGGCCAAACCACATCTGCACTGCAAAAACCTCCATTTTTCTCTATCTTTTTGCTGCTGTCTAACACTCTTCTCGAATTGTGCACACAGTTATAAGAGCCCAAATCACAGCAAGAGAAGGTCTGCAAACTTGCTAGGTTTTGCATCCTCACCGTGCCACTTCTGCCTGCATTCTCCTTTTGCAAATGGGATCTTTTATCTTCAGGCTACAAGGAAATCTAAGCATTATTATGTTTCTTGGCCAAAAAGTTAGGTGGATTTCCTAGAATTCCCCAGCCAGCCACATATCTTTAAATCCACATATTTTAAAGCTGACAAAGCTGTGAAACACTGCATAATACAGTCCCTAAGTGCCTAACTAATTGAACTGAGTGTGGGATTATTTGCTAAACAAAATATCATCCTTTTTATTGCTGATCTTCTCTGCTCTATGCGATCGACGTCTTTACTTGTGGATTTTTGACAACATCCCTTCTGCAGCGAATACAGGTAGTCCTCAACTTACGACCAGAATGGAGCCCAAAATTTTACGTTGCTAAATGAGAAATTTGTGAAGTGAGTTTTGCCCCATTCTACAACTTCTCTTGCCACATTTGTTAAATGAATCACTGCAGTTGTTAAGTTAGTTACACCGTTGTTAAGTGAACCTTAATGTCAGGAGGTCACAAAAAGGGATCACCAGCTCACCTTGGATATTCGTTCTTAAGTGAATTTTGCTAGCCCTGGTTTATTTTTCTTTAGGGATTATGAGATTAGTTTTGGTCAAACTAAAGTCTCATTTACAGAATGGGTCAGGAAAATTTAGCCATGGTGGTGAGTTATGGTGAGTTAACTCTTTTTCTAAACACATATTTTTATTTTAATATTTTATTTAGCAGCCAAGAAATGCTGGAAAGAGGGCTGTGAAATAATTAACTTCTCCAGAGAGAGGCTGGAGGTTTTGCTCTGCTTTGTCTTGATTTGGAGTAAATTATTTTTTATCCATTAAATAGACCTATCAGTTTAACTCACGGGCGCTCAATTAAAAAGCAGGAAACCAGGCTGTTTAACCTTTTACAACAGCTTTTTGGCAACCTTGTTCTAGAAGATTCTGAGGCCTTTTATTTATTTATTAAATTTATATGCTGCCCATCTCACTATCCAAAGCAATTATGGGTGTGGATTTTTGGATAATATTTCTAAGGTGCTGAGTTATTTTGATATTTTATTTTATCATGCTTTTTAGTTTATATTTTATTTTATTTCGCTTTATTTTTTATGAAAAAAATAATGGAAGTTTTCAACTATTCTGACTCACACTGAACACTACTGAGCTGGATGAATTACAGGTAGTTCTTGACATAAAACAGTTCATTTAGTGACTGTTTGAGGCTACAATGGCACTGAAAAAAGGTATTTATGACCGTCTTTCATACTTACGACCGTTACAGTATCCCCATGCTTACGTGATCAAAATTTGGATGCTTGGCAGCATGCTCATATTTATGACGGTTGCAGTGTCCCGGGGTCATGTGATCCCTTTTTGTGACCTCCTGACATTAAGGTTCACTTAACAACGGTGTAACTAACTTAACAGCTGAATTGATTCACTCATCCCTTTGGCAACCTTCTGACAAGCAAAGTCAATGAGGGAAACCAGATTCACTTAACAACTGTGTGGTTCACTTAACAACTGTGGCAAGAACGGTTGTAAAATGGGACAAAATTCACTGTCTCATTTAGCAACAGAAATTTTGGGTTCAATTGTTGTCGTAAGATGAGGACTTTTTGTAATAGCCTGTATCAATAAAACTGAGCATTGGGGTCTGTTTGGTGGAAACTGAAGTCTTCAGCCAAATGTTGTTCATAACCGGGACTATACAGGCAGTCCTCAACTTACAACAGTTCACTGAGTGAGCATTCAAAATTACAACAGTCCTGAAAAAAGTGACTTATGACCATTTTCACACTTAATGACCATTGCAGCATCCCCATGGTCACGATTTACATCTGGATGCTTGACAACTGATTCATATTTATGACAGTTGCAGTGTCCTCTTTTGTGACGTTCTGACAAGGAAAGTCAAAGGTGAAGTCAGATTCACTTAATCACCATGTTACTAATTTAACAACTGCAGTGATTCACTTAACATATGTGACAAGGAAAGTCACCACTGGCTCTGAATATAAAATTTGACCAATGAATTAACTCTTGAGTGTTAAAATATGCCTGCGTGTTTGTGTGTGTGTGTGTGTCCCCCATCTATTTTTGGCCTAAAAGATCATCTGTATAACAGAATAATAGAGTTGGAAGGGACCTTGGAGGTCTTCTAGTCCACTCCCCCTACTCAAATGGGAAATCCCATACCATTCCGGACAAGTGCCTGTCCAGTCTCTTCTTAAAAACCTCCAGTATTGAAGCACCCACAACTTCTGGAGGCAACTTCTGTTCCACTGGTTAATTTGTCTTCAGTGTTAGGAAGTTTCTCCTTAATTCCAGGCTGCTTCTCTTATTGATTAGTTTCCATCCATTGCTTCTTGTCCTGCCTTCTGGTGCTTTGGAGAATAGACTGACCCCCTCTTCTTTGGGGCAGCCCCTCAAATACTGGGATACGGCTATCACCCGCTAGTCCTTCTCATTAAACTAGACATACCCAATTCCATCAACCGTTCTTCCTATGTTTTAGTCTCCAGGCTCCTAATCACCCTTGTTGCTCTTCTCTGCACTCTTTCTAGAGTCCCAATATCTTTTTTATATCATGGTGAGCAAAACTGGATGAGGTTAACCTGTAGTTAGCCCAGAGCTGAACTGCTGGCAAGGAAGCCGTCACCAAAAAGGTGATTTCATGGACATGTGCAGGGTTTTTTTTTTTTGGCTCAAAACAGATGTGGTTGGCCTCTGCCTCCTTCTGGAATTTATTTATTTACTTTCTAGCCCAGCTTCCTGCAAGGTCAGATCCTGCTTAGTTTCAGAGCCAGGCAAAGTCCAGTCTCTCTCTCTTTGCTGAGGCCCCTGGAGCAGCAACAGTTTCATATGAACAAACCAGAGGCACTGTTAAAAGTGGAGGCAAAATCAATAATCAGAGTTGAAAATGCCACCATGTTTCCCACCCAAGGGGATTTTCCAGAAAATGGCAAATATGAGATTTAGTGACTTGCTTCTGAGTCAGAAAACAATTTAGTGGCTGTGTTCATAGCACATTGAATCATCAGCTCACCTGTTGTACAAACCTAATCTGACAGGTGCTCCAACACTGGAGTTTTTTAAAAGAGAGACTGGACAGCAAGGGGTTGGACTAGAAGACCTCTAAGGTTCCTTCCAATTCTGTTATTCTGTTCATAGTTCAGTCTATGATGTGAATGTACCCACTAAAACAGTTTGCTTCATGTCATAGCATTTTAAATTCCCCCTATCCGTTTGTTTTCTTCTTTTCCTTTCTTCTTTCTCTTTCTTTCTCTCTCTCCCCCTCCCTCCCCACCTCTTTTTCTTTCTTTCAAAGGGGAACCCCTCCCCCATGGCAAATTAGAAAAGAAAGAAATACCAACCACTACATTCAAAGCTGGGAGGGAACAAGAGGCACGATTACTGGTCAGCCTACATTTGATATCCCCCAGACCGGACATCCCTGTTCACTCTACCATCGAGAAGAATCACAACACAAAAAAAGGTCTATTTTCATTATTTTTTTAATTGAAAGGATAATAAAAAAATTTCTTCATATTGCTTCAACAAAATGAGAGACAGCAACTTGGCTGGATAATGCTTTTTGATTGGTTGGTTGGTTTGGTTTTATACAGCAAATGAAAAGGAAAAATAAAATCTGTACCTTTAAGCAACATGAATCCAATATATACACAGAAAAATATTCAAAAAACAAAGGCAGAGCGGTTTAAATCAAATGACTTCCATCAATACATTGGCTAGTTACATATTATGTCAATAAATACCCAGATTTAGCTCAGGTTGGTGTTTTTTTTTTTCAAAAGAACAATGGGTCTGAACATAATATGCAGAAAGAGGAAATATGCATTTATTTACAAGTCAGTGCATACTGAAGTGAGGATTGGTGCCAAAACAAAATGAATAAATTAAAGCAGGTGGGTGGGGGAAACATGAAGGCAGGACGAAACTACTGTGTCCATTACCCCACCGACATTCATTGGAAAACGAAGCTGTTTTCTAGAAAAATATGCCAAGAAAATAGGAATGTTCTAAAAGTGATTGCATTAGTGCCAAAAAAATATACATAAACAGTACCCAGAGAGGAAAAAAACTTATAAAGTAATAATTAATATAAATTGTTTTTTTATATAAAAAAAATCCCATCAATTAAATAAAAATAGGGAAAATTAGAATATCCACTTTTAAAAAGAAAAGCTGTCCACAGCAGGATTATGCCACATTATTTCTGTAGACATTTTATTCTGCCATCATTTGTTAACTGTTTCTTCACATAGACCAGATGGGGGCCAGCTGTCTTCACAAAAGCTTCCCAACTTGGGAAGAAATTTGGGGCCCTTTGTAAATTATTGAAGGTCAAAGGGCAAGGTCGATCAGCTCAGACAATGAAAAGACCAAAATGTTGTTTTTTCCACCCCCTGCACACCACCAATTTCCCAGACCGTAAAGGCACCCTCCTGGGCAACTCCTAACCCCTAAAGCCAACTATCCTAAATCAAGTCACCCATAAGACTCCGGTAACCAGAAGCTGCGGAAGTCATATCAAATTATCTCCCGCTCCCTTCTCCTGAATAGCAACCTTCTCTTTTTACAGTATGGTAGTCTAGGGAAGATAGCAACGCACAAATGTGCAAAACTTTAGCCCCATTATGTACCCTAACCGAACCTGGTAAGAAGTTATTACAGCAGATCTGTGGGATATGATCCCCCAGAGTCAAGATGGCAGCCATGACAGGAGATGGAAGCTCCACCTGGTTCTTTTGTGGGCCCAAAACTTTCACAATGGTACCCCAACAGTGCAATTGAAGCTCTCTCTGGGTTTTACAGATGCCATCTTAAACTTCCGGGACCATATCCACATCTCTTAAAGTTTTCAAGTTTAAGAAACGCTGATCTAGATGGTTTTCCTCAGAATTTCAGCAACAAGTAATGCAATACTTCCCTCTCATTCTAAATCATGTAAATCGGCTTATTATAAAAAGTATCTTGTTCTCCTGGCTTGGCCAATGCAAAAACAAAACAAAAACCCAGTGTTTTCTCCACTTCCAACCAACTCTGAGCATTAAACTTTGAGCTACAGTGGCAATGATTGCTGACTAGGACTGTTTTCATGTTCTTTTAGAAGATTAAAACTATCATCCGTTGTCAAGTTGCAAGAGAACTCCTGAGCACTCAAAATACTGGTCTGTAGCTATCACAATCTGTCACCCCAACTCAAGCAACGAGAACTACAACTTTTTGGGAATTAAATGGATCTCTACCTTGTCCTCTCCCATAAGAGATCCAAAATTTCTGAAATAATAACACATTTCTCTCCTTCGTTCTCCTCCCAAGGCTGTAAAATGTTCTCTGATACTTGCCCACACCTCTCCAATCTAGGTGGGCATCCATAACGACAAATAAGGTATTTTCTATCAAGGTTCCATGGCCAAATCCTTAGATAATTAAATAAATAAAAATAATAATTTATAACACAATGTAAACTCTCTCTCTCTTTTGTTAAATAGTTCATAGGTTTTTGTTCCTCTGTCTTAATAGTTTAGAGTTTGATAATTTGTCATATTTAACTACCAGTCTTATCAAGTACAAAACTGTAGAAATCAGGGGTGTTTTTTTCCTACTTAAATAGTAGCAAGACTCTGCTCTTCATAATACAATGCGTGAACTTTGCAGGTGAAAGGCTGCCTGTAGCAGTCGCTTTCAGCTGTATTGCAGCATTTAGAACAGTTCTTCTCAATTCCAACAACTTTACACTGTGTAATTTCAATTCCCAGAATTCTGCAGCCAGCTATGCTGGCTGGGAAATTCTGGAAGTTGAAGTGCTGAGAAACACCGATTTAGAATGCTCCCATTCACACCTTCTAAGGCTCAAATTCTTTGCTAAGCAATGGCTATGATTCCAAAACAATTGCACAGCAGTTATATCCATCACAAATATTCCAGAGTTCGGCTAATCTCCAGTAAAAGTAGTGCCCTTTACTGCATGTGCCCTACTTTGTCCAAATATCTGAAGTAGGCAGCAATATAATATATCCAAATTTAGATCCAAAACTTCTAGACTGCATCTGCATCTGCATTACAAAGCAAGACATCTTTGGAATCAATTCAATGCACTCCGGAAAACAAGGTTAGGAATTGCCAGAAGAAAGGTGGAAGGAAGGGAAAGAGATAAAAAGCTTGGGGACAATCTGTTTAAACCTTCTGAGACCTTTCCCCTCACCCTCCCATGCCAGATTCTTAAAATTCTTCCTTGAGGAATCCAAGATTGTGGAATAGGATTTCAAATCCATAGCGGAGATATGTGAGGAAGGGAAAGAGGGAGGGAGGAAGGAAGGAATTAAGGGGGGAGGGAGAGGTGGAGAGACGGAAGGAAGGAAAGAATCCTCCCTCCCTAACTCCGTCCTTCCCTCCCTCCCTTCTTAATTCTTGCAAGGAGGGAGAAAGGGAGGAGGGAGGAGTTAGGGAGGGAGAGAGGCAGGGAAGTTTCCTTCCTTTCCGCCCTCCTTCCCTCCTTAATTCTTGCAAGGAGGGAGGAAGAGAGGGAAGGGAGGAGGGAGGGAGGGAAGGAGGTTTTAGGGAGGGAGGGAAGCTTCCTTCCTTCCCGCCCTCCCTCCCTCCTTAATTCTTGCAAAGAGGAAGGAAGAGAGGGAAGGGAGGAGGGAGGGAAGGAGGAATTAGGGAGGGAGGGAAGCTTCCTTCCTTTCCGCCCTCCCTTCCTCCTTAATTCTTGCAAGGAGGGAGGAAGAGAGGGAAGGGAGGAGGGAGGGAAGGAGGGAAGGAAGGGAAGGAATTATGGAGGGAGGGAAGGAAGGAAGGAAGGAATTAGGGAGGGAGGGTGGAAGGAGAAGATGCAGCTTAAAATGTCATCATCTTGGTGTTTAATCCAAAGGGGGTGAAGGGGAGACAAAGTAAGGGAATTTTACCTTAAATGCAAATAAATCAAGGGCTGGTCTGCCAAATATCTCTTTCCCTTTCAGCACCTTAACTGACCACAGCCTAACCAAGAAGCCTGTGACAAATAAATAATATATATTATGCAAAAAGAAACCGATTGTACATAATATATGATATAAACTATAACTAATTTAAATAAAGTCCCATGCTTTGTTGAAGCTTGTTTAAATTGGTGATCCTTTCCAATAAATAGGGGAGCAAAGAAATAATGCAAATAACATAATTATTTCCCCGGTTGTAAACGTTTTCCCATTTCATCAATAGCAAATCATTTGCACAATAAATACACTTTTGTAACTCTCACAAAGCGATTGCAGAAAAATTGTCCACAAACATTTCAGCATGTTTGCAGAAGGTGCTGGGTCGGTAATCCACAAACTTAAAAGATATACAAGCAATATTCCTTACAAAGTCTCCCCATTCCCCATCCCCATACAAAATGCAAGAAAATTGTGTTTTAAGTTGCAAAATTCATCTTCCACCCACCCACCCAAAATGCCATTAAGATCTCAAAAGGTTTTCCACAAATAGTATAAAACAAACAAACAAAAACTTTAGCACTTTTTTTCTCGACAGTGTCCAAAATTAAAACAATATTGATTTATCTTCTTAGAAAGATCATCTTCTCAGCATCGAAAAGAAAAGGAATGTTTATTCACCATAGGAAATGAGAAATTGTCCAGTTTTCCTTTCACACACACACACAAAAAAAAGTATAAAAATTTAAACCTTCATGGTCTCTACTAGAGATGATTTAATGGCATCTTCAAGAAGCTGGTTGTCTGAAAAAGGTGCAGGAATTTCTGGGACGGATTCAGACAACCCAATCAAGGACTCCAGAAAGCAGCTGCTCTGATCTGCAGGTTGGACTAAGGTGGGCAGATTTGGCAATTGCAGTTGCAAAACTGTGAAGTTGTCCACATTCTCATATTCCTTCAAGGAGTTATACAGAGGTCCCAGGTTGTAATCCGAGAAGGGCTGGAAAACATCCAAAGAGTCGGAGGAAAAGCTCAGATCCATGTAGTTCTTGGAGTCTGGTTCTTCAAAGGAAGATGGGGAATAGCTGGCACCTTTTTCACCGTCTCCAGCGGGGATCTCCTCAAGGATACAGCTCGGTGCCTGATTGGCATTCTCATCCAAGCAATCACCGATGTTTGTTAAATAACTGAAACTATTGCTGAAGCCCATCTCTTCAACAGGGTTGGTAGCACACTGGTTTTCCACATCCACGCTGAAGAAACCAGAAGGGTGGAAAGAACTCAAATTATCCTGGCAGTGGCCAGCGTTACTGATGTCTTCTTCTCCATCCGAATCATTGAAGTGGAGGATCCGAGCCAGGCCGTTGTCATCGATGTCTGATTGTGACTTCGCGTTACTTTCAAACAACTCTTCCAAATCCTCACTCTGATTGGATGACGCCGATGAGTCGGTCATGTTGCTACTGGAGCTGTTCTCGTTGACGGTCTCCAAGGTGGTGCTGAAGTTGAAGACGGGCATCAGCGTGACGGCCCTTTCTTCATGGGAGGCCTTCTTGACCGGATAGGCGAATGGGTGAAGATGATCTCGGAAGGATAGCTCAGACTCAAGATTCCCATCATCGTTTTGCTGGTTCTCTTCCAATCCCAGCCTCATGAGGGTGTGGATGAAATGCGTCTGCACCCGAGATTGGTTGAACTCAGTTCTCCCCTCTGTATTCCCACAGCTATCTCTGGTGCAGCCACAAGGAAAGGAGGTGTAATCCATCTGTTGGAAGAGAGATCAAACATTTAGAAGAAGAGACACCTAACATCAGTCTCCATTCCATTCTCCATTGTAACTCAGGACATAAAACATCTGGAGGTTATCAGCGGTTGTTAGCGGCTTATTTGCTCTAAGCCGCTTAAGCGCTCCCTTGAGGACAGTGTCATACAGTGCATGAAAAACACAGTTATAGCTCATTGGTTAAAGAGAGCTGGCCACTACATGAGGGAATCTGAGCTGTGATTGGATGCTGTGAGCTGTGATTGATTGCTGAGAGTAAAGGGGGAGGTTCCTTGTTTCCCGCCTTTTTTCCTCATATGCTCTGAATGCTCTCTCTAATTTACCTCACGATGCTCCTGTTCATCTCCTTTATTTACTGTAAAAATGCATTTATTTATATAAAACCACAGGTTCTTTGAGAACAGGCAACTGAATTTCATTTTTAATGTGTGCCAGTGTTCTCACAGTAAAAAAAAAAAAGGCAATGAAAGCTGTCTTTTTTTAAAAAAAATTAAAAAAAATTTAAATTGCACATGTGTCAGCTTCCCTGACTCATGTGCAATTTAATTAAACAGCAGGTCCTCTTCAAAACAAAAGGAGTCCAATGACAAATCAAGGCATTGGTCATTACAAGGCCTTTCCTAGGAAATGTTTTTCTTATCCATTTTGAAAGAAATCTCTTTGTGAATGAGCACAGACATTTTTTCTCCAGTTCTGCCTTCCTGAATCTTTTTTTTTTCCAAATTTTTATTAGAATTTAAGATAAAGTTAAGGTGTAATGTCTCCTGCATGGGCAGGGGGTTGGACTAGATGATCTACAGGGTCCCTTCTAACTCTATTAATCTGTTAAACTACAAATAAAAACAAAAGTCAAGAAAGAAAAAGTGCAATGATAAAAAAAAAATCCAATAAGATTTCCTTCTGATGGATTGAACTTCCAAAATTCAACAGATGTACAATTTAGGGTCCACCTGGCCAGCAATTCTGGAAATTTAAATCTAGCACATCTGTTGGTTTTGGGGAACTGAAGACAAATCTACTTGGAAGAAGCTAGGTTGAAGCCAACTACTTTAAATAAAAGAGTCATTATCCACATCATTCTGCTTTAAATATCAGTCCCCAAGAAATTCTGCTCTATTCATTTTGCATAGGTATATTTCTGTGTTCCATCATTTCTGCCTCAAGTTTTGATACTTGGATTATTTAAAGCCCACAGATCTCATTTCTAAGATCTTCCAGAGTTACCAAATTGCAAACGAAGCCACAATGAAATGCTGAAACAATGCCAAAACTATTAAACTCACACAACCAAGACATAAACATGAATGGTTCATTTTACATATTGAAATGAACCACCAGACTTACTATTAACTTGGAAGGAACCCAAGTAGTGTTCCAAAACCACGTTTAGAAGTTAAAAGAATTAAATGAAACTGATCTTTAAATCACTTTAAATCACAATCACTGGGACCAGATTGGATACTGCAAAATTGTGATTGTTGTTTGATAAAACGTGTTTTTGCTTGCCAGGATCTACTTTTAATTCAGTTTCTAGAGAGGTTGAGTACTTATGGAGAAAATATTTACCTTTAATACCTCCAGTTGCAGCAGGGGAATAAAATAAAGCTGCACACTTAAAAGAAGAACAGGGGTGTTGGGGGGGAAATATCATTTTTTTCTTGCCCCTTTGACAAACATGCCCTATTTTTTTTTTTTAATTTTTAATACAAATATAGTTTCCTGGATTGGGTCACTAGCTAGCCCCCTCGCAAATCTATTAAGCCTTTTGAGATTTTATTTATTTTTTGATTATCTCACTATTATTGTTTATAAGTAACTCAAGGAGGAAAACATACCTAACAGTCCGTCCTCCTTCTCTTTTCCTCATAACAACCCTGTGAGGTGGGTTGAGAGAAAGTGAGTAGCCTAAAGTCAGCCTGCCAGCTTCATGGCTAAGGCAGGATTAGAACTCACCATCTCCTGATGTTTGGCCCAAAGTCACCCAGCCCACTTTCATGCTTAAGGCAGAACTACAAATCACCATCTCCTGGTTCCTAGGCCAGCACCATAACCACTACACCAAGCTGGCTCTAACATGCTTTAAAAATATTTTTTGATTTACTTTTGATAGTCTGCAATATTTTGGGTTTTTTTGGGTGGGGGCAGCGATAGGCACCCTGCTGCACAGGATAGCTAATTCTTAGCTTCTCCTAATGTAACTAATCTGTTCTTACACAAACCTGACTGGGAAAAACAATCGGAAGCAGCAGAGTGTCACTGCATTTTTGTATTTACCAGGTGAGCTTTTATTTTTGAACTTTCAGATTTACCGTAGCTTGCCAAGTTCTTATCTCTAAGCTAACTGTGCATGTCCACATTCTTTCACTTTCTTCTCTGGCCAAGAGAGGTGGCCGGGAAAGCTTTGCCAAGATGTAACTAATTAGATTAGTAAGATGTTTTATTTTCTTTATAACAAATAAATGAGTTTTTCTTAGAAAATATATCTTTGGGTTTATTTTCTTTAAATATACTTCAAGGGAAGGTCACGATCCATTCTCTAATCAAGGTGCAATTACCCAAAAGCAGAATGGGATTAATTGCCACCCTGACACAGAGGAACTCTGCTGCTAACATTCTTTTTGATGTTTTAGGTTCTTTAAAGGAAGGCTACCCACCTGGCATTTAATTCCTGCCATACTGCAGCTGCAGGTTTCGGAGTCACAAAACCCCTGGCAGTTACAGCCACAGTTTTCCCGAGAAAGGCGAATCCTTTGCAATTGCTGCTTCTCCTCTTTGTCAATCTTCCTGACTCCCATGGACTTCAGCAAGGCGCGCCTCTTCTTGGTGGTGTAAGGCTGGAGGAAGAATCCATTGCTCAGATCCATGTTGCTGATGTCGACATCGTCCACTGAGATATCGTCTACGGTCAGCCGTTTGGCTTCCTCCGACTCCTTTGTACCATTCATAGTCAGCTGGATTGGGGAGAGGGAGACAAAGAAGACCCTCAGTCCTGCAAGGGGCTCAAGACTTCCTAGGCAGAGATCCATCCCCTTCTTTGACACAAACTTTGGGGTGGGATTTTATCCCAGCAGGTCAAAAACAAGGCAAATGCCTAGTTGCCATGCTGAAAAATTACCCCATTTATTTTCCTACCAATACAAATAGGAAAATCGACTTATGACCACAATTGAGCCCAAAGTTTCTGTTGTTAAACGAGACAGTGGTTAAGTGAGCTTTGTCCCATGTTACGACCTTTCTTGCCACGGTTGTTAAATGAATCAATGCAGTTCTTAAATTAGTAACACAGTTGTTAAGTGAATCTGGCTTCCCCAATGACTTTGCTTGTCTGGAGGTTGCAAAAGGGGATCGTGTGACCCCCGGGAGACACTCCAACCGTCATAAATATGAATCGGTTGCCAAGCATCAGAACTCTGATCACCTGACAATGGGGACCCTGCAATGGTTGTAAATGTGAAAAATGATCATAAATCACTTTTTTTCAGTCCTGTTGTGATTTGGAACAGTGACTAAATAAATGGTTGCAAGTGAAGGACTGGATTACGTGTAGTCATTTGACTTGATGAAAGAGAATTTGCTTTCAGAATTGCTTTCTGAAAAGAAAATACTGGGGAAAGTTTCCTTGCTTAGCAACCAGGCAGCTTAATGTCTTTCTTCCATTACAAATAGTCCTCAAATTATGACTACCATTGAGGCCAAAATTTCCATTTTTAAGCAAGGCAAGTGAATCACATCCAATTTTAGAACAATTTTTTTGACATAGTTCTTAAAGAGAAACACTGCAGTTGTTAAAAGGAATCATGCATTGATTAAGCAAATCCAGATTCTTCGATTGATGTTGTTTGTTGGAAGTCAACTGGGAAGGTTGCAAATTGGTGATCATGTGACCTTGGGACGCTGCAATCCCTGTTAAATACAAGCCGGTTGCCAAGGGTTCAAATTGCAATTATGTGACTGCAGGAACAGTGATAGTGATAGTGATAGGTGTAAGGGCCAGTCATAAATCATATTTTTCAGTGCCATCGTAACTTTGAGCGGTCACTAAATGAATGGTTGTAAATTGAGGACTACCTGTATATAACCAGCAAACTGGCTTCCCCTGTGTTCTCTGTTCCTCCAAGAGGCTTAACCAGACTGGAACGGGAGCAGAATGATGGGAAGGAAGAGAACAGACAGCCATGTCTCTTCTGTTCATTCCAAAACTCAGCTTCAGCAAAACACACACACACCCGACACTAAGACCCGGTGGTCTTCCGGGTGCGCTTCAAGATTTTGGTTACCACCTTTAAAGCGCTCCATGGCTTAGGACCTGGTTATTTACGGGACCGCCTACTACCACAAACAGCCTCCCACTGGCCAGTACGCTCTCATAGAGAGGAGCTCCTCCGGGTGCCATCAGCCAAGCAGTGTCGACTGGCGGCCCCCAGGGGGAGGGCCTTCTCTGTGGGGGCACCCACTATCTGGAACGAGCTGCCCCGGACATACGGAGGATCCCGGATCTGCACACTTTCCGCCGTGCTCTTAAGACCCTCCTATTCCAGCAAGCCGGCGTGGCCTAATTTTCTCCCCTTTCTTTTAAATTTTTAAATTGTTTTAAATTATTGGGATCTTTAATTGTCTGGAGCTAAATTATTTAATTTGGTTTTAATTATGTTTCTAACTTTTGTATTTATGTATTTTATTCTGTGCCTGTTCACCACCCTGAGTCCTTCGGGAGTAGGGCGGTATATAAATTTAATAAAACAAACAAACAAACAAACAAAAGAAATTCCCAAAAAATTCTCGAACACCCTGAGAACATTGTTCTTCTCCATAGAAAGAAAACACTGAGAAATGACAGAGTAGGTTTCAGGGCCATGTTAAAGCTACCTCGATAAAGGGGGCTGGTGGTTGTTCTGAGATTTAAGAAATAAATGAAAACTTTATAAACAATGTAAAAAAAGTTTTTTTAAAAAAGTAACTAAAATGCAGGAAAATTCTTTCCCCAGGAATCCAAAACTCCGTGGCACACATTCTTCCAACTCTCCTCAAGGAGAGTTAAGTGTTCCCATGTTGCTCCTGGTTGTAGAGCTAAATGGGTTTTATCTGTCTTTTGGAGCCAAGAGGAGGGGGAGCCCCAAGCAAACCCGAGTTCCCTAAAATCTTCCGACTGAATCTGGGACGCTTGCAAAAGGAGAAAATTCTTACTTTCATTTTAAGGGCTTCCAGTTTCTCTTCTTTCAGCCTGTCCTTCAATTTCTCACGCCGGACAATCTGCTGCTGCCTGCAAAACTCCGACATGGTGAATTCCCGGGAGAAGCCATGCTTCCTAGCCATCCCCAAAGTGCAGCCCCCACAGCTAGGCACGGTGGTGAATCCTTGGCAACGCGGGAAGTAGAAAACGGTGACCCGGTCAAATTCAACGTTGTTCTTCTTCTGCCTCTTGCTCTTCTTCAAGATGGATGTGGCTGCAGGAAAAAGGAGGGAAGGAAATGAGTATTGACTGCCGTTATTCTTTTGACAAATATATATATATTTTTTGCCCCCCTGCGCAACTTCCCTCTAAATTAATGTTTCTCTTATTTCAGCAACTTTAAGATGTGTGGACTTCAACTCTCAGAATTCCCCGAGCAACAAGAGATGCACTTCTACTCCCAGAATTCCCCAGCCAGCCTTCTGACAGCTGAAATCTACAGAACTTAACATTGCTGAGATTGAGAAACATGGCTCTAAATCAATGAGGACTAGGAGCTTGCTTTTTAAATTCCTACTAAAAAAGACAGCCATGATAGCAATAGCACTTAGATTTATATATCACTTCCTAGAGCTTTACAGCCCTCTCTAGGCAAAGTTAGCATATCACCCCCCCCCCCCCAATAATCTGGGTCCTCATTTCACCGACTTCGGAAGGATGGAAGGCTGAGTCAATCTTCAGCTGGTCAGGTTTGAGGTAATTGAACTCCTGGCATTCTAACCACTGCACCACCACGGCTCTTGATATATATGACATTACAGGTAGTCCTTGACTTATGACTGATCACTTAGCAACTGTTTGACTTTATGACAGGACACTCCCCACCCCAAAAAAAGATACTTATGACCTAAATTCAAAGTTCCACTGCCTACGTCCACCTTCATGGCCACATAACTGCATTCTGGTCACTTAGCAACTGACCTGCATTTGCAGTCTCCAGTGGTCACATGACTGCCATTTATGACATTTTTGCCAGAAACCAGCATTTATGTTTCTAGCGAAAAAACAAACAAACAAACCCTGATAAAGGAGAATGAGTTTGCTTAACAACCACTTTGCTTAAGTTTGTTATCTAATTTTAGGTTCTATTTAATTGGGCCAAACTATGTTATAGTAAGAATTTTAATTAGCAATTTTATGATGTTTGTGTATCTATATTTTTTCTTGACTGTACACCGCCTTGAGTCCTACGGGAGAAAGGCGGCATAGAAATATAATAAATAAATAAATAATAACTTAAAGACTCCGTTCTTCCCTCTACAACCACTGCATTTGCTTAATATCCATTAAAACAGTGTATAAATTGGGCACAGTAATATGGTGACCTGCTTTATGACTGTCACAATTTAGGACTGAAATTGTGGTCGAGGACTACCTATAATAAAAAAACCAACCACCGACTATGTACCCCATTTACACATGCAAAGAACTGGCTAGGAACCCACCAGAGAACTCAATTGCTACAAAATATATTGCAAAACAGTTTCCATTTACAGAATACGTTGTATTCCTTTGTAGTGTGTACTTGCTGTGTATTTCACACTTAAGAAAAAACAGGAATGCAACCCTTCCAACAAAAAGACTAACTCAGAAAAAAAAAAAAAAACCCACGAAGCACCAAGTTCTTAACCTGGTTAACTTAAAAAACTGGATTTTTTAAAAATCTTGGAAAAATTCTGGCCCAGATAATGAAAGCGAAATACGGGGAAAGATGGCACCTGTTTTATTATACTAACCCATCTCCCCTTCGAAACAGCAAAGTCTCTTATTTATTTATCATTTGTTCATTTAATATCCTACTTCTTATTATTTTTATAAACAATTCAAGGTGTTCAGGTTTTATAAAATTAATTTTATAAATGTACAGGTAGCCCTCGACTTACGACCAAAACTGAGCCCAACATTTCTGTTGCTAAGCAAGACAGCGGTTAAGTGAGTCTTGCCCCCTTTTGCGACCTTTCTTGCCACAGTTGTTAAGTGAATCACTGCAGATATTAAGTTAGTAACATGGTTGTTAATTAAACCTGGCTTCCCCATTGACTTTGCTTGACAGAAGGTCACAAAAGATGATCGACGTGACCTCAGGACACAGTGACCGTCATAAATATGAATCAGTTGCCAAATGTCCAAATTTTGATCACGTGACCATGGGGATGCTGCAACGGTCTTGCAGAGCCTTGGTAGTACAGTGGTCTAAAGCACCCTGTTATTAAGACCAGCTGCCTGCAATTACTGCAGGTTCGAATCTCCCCAGGCTCAAGCTTGACTCAGCCTTCCATCCTTTCTAAGGTAGGTGAAATGAGGACCCAGTTTGTGGGGGCCATAAGCTGACTTTGTATAAATATACAAAAGAATGAAGGCTATTGCTTAGCGCATTGTAAGCTGCCCTGAGTCTCCGGAGAAGGGCGGCATATAAATCAAATTTTTAAAAAAACGGTCGTAAGTGTGAAAAACGGCCATAAATCAGTGTCTTTATAACATTGAACAGTCACTAACAAATGGCTATAAGTCTAAGACTTACTGTATTAAAAAGCTTTTTTTTTTTTAAATAAGCAGCTTCCACTTTATCTTCACAATCACCTTGTGAGGTTGGCTACAAATTCTGATCAAGGTGTTAGGGTATGGTTTGAGCCTAACAAGTTGTCCAGGCAATATATGTGTTCTGTGTTCTGTGACTTTAATATGAATATGTATTGTGTGACTTTAAAGTTTTCCTGCTGATTCATTGTAATGCTGAGTCATGCTGTAATTAGATAATCACTAGTTGTAAACGTATTTAAGAAAGGTAGTGTAAAGTATTCAGTTGATGATAAGCTACCATAATGTGTGGAGTTGCTATCATTGTGCTATCATCAGTTGGATGGATCTGCTACCATCGTGGTTTGTGAACCAGAGTGAGTTTGTTATTCTAACCAACTACTGTTTGTATGGTAAGAAGATTTTTGTATCACTGGACTGATTTAACTGGCAAAGACTTGGATTTGATTTAAAGACTACGAGATTGTTTTTTTCACTATAAAGTAAACTTTTGATAAACCAGTTTGCACATCTCTTATTCATTGCTCTCAGCAACGTTTCTCTGTGCTCCACACTCTGCTGGTTGGTAACACAACAACAATATCCTTAACACAAGGTATATCTAATTAAAAGGAACCACGCTGGGTAAGGCCAATTTAAGCTTCCTTCCCTCTGCCAGCCTAGTTTCAAGCTGGCATCACCCAGGTTCACATTTCCAGCCACTCTCCTTCTCCGATCCACGCGCCTTCCCTGGAACAGCCATTCCTGCATGTGCCACCCGATACTTCAGCTGGTTTTTATTCTGGCCAGAAGCCAGACCCGGTTTCTCCCCTTCCCTCTGCATGTGCATTTCCAGAACTGAGCTCAGAAGCTATTTAGGCAGGGGTGAGTTTGCAAGAAAACTTCATCATTCCACCCTCCACCCTGAATAGGCTACTTGTGGTCCTGGAACCACCTGGTGAAATATTCATAAGTGTCCTTCAAATGAGCTGCCTCTCTCTGCCATCAGCAAGGAATTCTGAAGGGAATCGACAGAAGCAAAAAAATCTCTGCTTTCTTCTTTAAAAAAAAAGGAAAGCCCCCCCTTCCCCTCCACCATCACCTCGCCAGTCCATCTAGCAAGGCTGCTTTGAGGCTTTTGCGCCTTGCCGTCCACCAAGAAGATTGGTAACCGTTGGCTTATTCCCCAAGGTCTGCCCTGAAAAGCAGCTGCCATACACTTAATCTCTGCACAGGTGATCCCTAGGAAAACCGAGCACTTGAGTTGTTTATCTTAAAAGTGGCAACCTGTGGAGCAGGTTTTTCGAAAAAAAGTTTTAATCTCATTGCCAGGATTAGGGCTTTCCTCTCTCCTTTTGGTAAAGCACATTTATTTTTTTCAAGTCAAGAATCGGAGACAAGAAGGCAAAGGAGAAAAAAAAATAAAATAAAGGGAGATGCTGAGCAGGCTAGTAAGGAAAAGACAAGGTGAGAATGAATGAGGAAGATGCAAAGATGAGCTTTGGAAATATTTGCTCCCTGCTTCTACTTCCAGCTTTGTGACCAGGGATGACTTGATAGCAGTCTTCCAAAATTTATGGGGCTGCCACAAAGGAGAAGAGGTCAACCTCTTCCCCAAATCACCAGAAGCCAGGACAAGAAACAGTGGATGGAAACTCATCAAGGAGAGAAAGCAACTTAGAACTAAGGAGAAAGTGGGAGCAATTAAGTTGTGGCTGCTCCAACATTGTTCAAATTTAATGTAGATGGCTTTAATGTAAGTTGGCTGTAAATTGAACAAATCACTCTCAACAGAGGAGGAGAGGTACAACACCATCTCTCTCTTGTTTACAACACGGTCTTTTCAGCAGTTTCAAAAAAGTTCCATGCTCATTTGCACTATTTGGAATTATTGCCTCAATAATTCTCAGAACGAGTGGCAACAACCAGCTGCCTGCAAGAAGTATACATCCTCCCATTCCTCACCATAAGAGCCTTGGTGGCGCAGTGGACTAAACTACTGTTAAAAGTAGCACTTAGCTGCCAGCTGCCTGCAATTACTGCAAGTTCAATTCTCACCAGGCTCAAGGTTGACTCAGGCTTCCATCCTTTCGAGGTAGGTAAAATGAGGACCCGGTTTGTGGGGGCAATAAGCTGACTTTGTATAAAAAAAGAACACCGCTTAGGGGGGCCCGAAAGCCCTACTAAGCAGATATATACAAAAGTATGAAGGCTATTGCTTAACGCATTGTAAGATGCCCTGAGTCTCCGGAGAAGGACGGCATATAAATCGAACTAATAATAATAATTCAGTCAGAACTGAAGAAGCTTCTTAGATGAGAAGCAAAACGTCTTCAAGGAAAAACAAAGGAAGTCCAGTTGCCTCTTGAAAAAGCACCTTTGGGACAACCATGACTTGGGTGACTGAGAAAACATTCAGGCCCCTTTTATTACAGTTCCTCCTTCACACAAAACCCACATGTGCTACTTTGAGCATCAAAGTGGTGGCACAGAGCATTGCCTTCTCCCTAATAATTTATTACGAGCAAAATCTTTGTGGTTTGCAAAGATATAGGCTCTGCAAAACCTGGCTTGCTCAGGGTGATTTAGCTTAAGCTGGCAATTTGCAGAATTCAATTAAAGAGAGATACATGAGAGGTCAAACCAATCTGAGTGCATTCATAATACACATTGAGCTAGATCGATCTGGAATCCATTTACTTAAAATGGGCTTGAGTCTTCCAGATATTAAATAATGAGAACTGAGCTTCTGGAGAGAAAAAGGAAGAGCTGCGAGGTGAACAGCAGCCAAAGAATCTGTGGTCAAGAATTAAAAATGCAGTCTCTATAGTGACCATTCCTTGCTATCTCTGCCCCTTACAATAAGGGATGCTCTCAAAGCCAAACTGGTCAGCTGAGATCAGGTAGTCCTTGACTTACAACAGTTCATTTAGTGACCGTTTGAAGTTACAGCGACACTGAAAAAAGTGATTTATGACCATTTTTCACTTATGACTATTGTGGCATCCCCATAGTAATGTGATCAGAATTCAGATGCTTGACAACTGGTTCACATTTATGACGGTTGCAGTGTCCCCCAACGTCACACAATCCCCTTTTGCGACCTTCGGACATACAAAGTCAAGGGGGAAGCCAGATTCACTTAACAACCGTGTTACCAACTTGACAACTGCAGTGATTCACTTAACAATTGTGCCAAAAAGAAAAAGGTCGTAAAATGGGGCAAAACTCATTTAACAAATTTCTCACTTTAGCAAGATAAATTTTGGGCTCAATTGTGGTCATAAGCCAAGGACTAATTGTATTTCTTAATTGACCAAGAGAAAGAGTCCTTCCCTCCCCTCCCCTCCATCCATCCTTTCTCCTATTTTCCTTCCTTCTTTCCTTCCTTCCCTCCCTCCCAAACCTCTCCCATCTTCTCCCAAATCACATTTTTATCCTACTTTTCCTCAATCAAGAGAGAACACATATCCCATTGCCAAGAGTGAAGATGCAAAAAAAAAAGAAAGAAACTAATTATTTTTATTACCCTGCTTGAATGTTTGCCATCCTCCCTCTTCCCTTAAACTGTCTGGGTTGCCTTTTGCACAAGAGTCCAAAGAAAAAAGCAGCTTTGTTGCTTCCACCGACACCCAACACATTCTGAAAGGCCAGCAGATTTGCCAAACAGTCTGCTAAATCTAATATTCTCAAAGGTTCTGAACAAGATTTATTACAAGTCCTGCCCTTGGTTAGGAGCAGAGCAGATGGCATTCCTGCGAAGAATTAGGTGCCATTTCTGTAGAAATTTAGGGATAGAGGCACATACTGATTGCTAATTAAAAAAAAAAAAAGATGCTGCAAATCTCAACCAACTCCTGTAAGAACAGATCAAGGTTCTGCAGGAGGCACCTAGTTAAATAAAAGGTGGCATCATAACCAGATTCTCAGTCTTAAAAAGTTAGTTTTAAAAATGGCATATGTTTAAAGATGATTTACTGCTACATAATACTTTGCCTTAGGAGCTTTTCAAAAAGTTAATCGAAGGGGAGCAATCTCACCAGAATTGAAAACTTTTATTTTTGATTTTTAAAAAAGTACATCTTCTGATTCAAATCATTTGCAAGGTGGGCTCTGAAAGTACATTAACTCAATCCAATCCTTGCAGTGCTGCTAAACCTTCTCCGTGTTAATAATATTTCCTGTCACTATTTCTGACAGCTGTTTTCAACTCTTAAACCCAACATAAATACAGGCAGTCCTCCACTTACGACCACAATTGAGTCCAAAATTTCTGTTGTTGAGTGAGACAGATGTTAAATGAACCTTGCCCCATTTTACGACCTTTTCTTGCCACAGTTATTAAGCAAATCACTGCAGTCATTAAGTTAGTAACGCAGTTGTTAAGTAAAGTGGACCAACATGTCCAGGCAGTTCTCGACTTATGACCACAATTGAGCCCAAAATTTATGTTGCTATGTGAGAAATTTGTTAAGTGAGTTTTGCCCCATTCTACAAATTTTTCTTGCCACATTTGTTAAGTGAATCCCCGCTGCTGTTAAGTTAGTCCCCTGGTCATTAAATGAACCTGGCTTCCCCTTTGACTTTGCTTGTCCGAAAGTTGCAAAAAGTTTATTTATTTTATTCAATTTGTATCCCGCCCTTCTCCTAGTGGACTCAGGGCGGTGCACAGCCAGAACTAAAACACATACCAATACAAAATTTAAAATTTTTAAAAGAATTATATAACTGTGGCCCAAAATTTAAAAGATTGAAACTAAAACCCAATTGACAATTTAAAAGGCTAAAAAAGGCTATTTTTTAGCCTTTTAACATGACCCTAGGACCCTGCAACCATCATAAGTATGAACCCGTTGTCAAGCATCCGAATTTTGATCACATGATGATGGGGATACTGCAATAGTTGTAAGCGTGAAAAACATTTTTCAGTGCCATTGCAACTTCAAACAGTCAGTAAGCGAACAGTTGTAAGTCGAGGATTACCTGCATGCACAATGTGTGACAGATGTCAAAAAGCCCCATAGCCAGACGGGCCCAAAGCTATTTGGATGTTTTGCAAAATTAGCATTCAAAATCTACTGAAAGATGATTTTATGGCTTCAAAACTGAAGACTTCTGGTGGTTAATACAATTGCAGAGCCTTAAGAGTTGATTGAGCACAGGTACATTAAGAAGCACGGTACTTACGGGTGAAATCCATGTTTAAGGCCATGGTGGGCTTGATGCCTCCTTGAGAGTTGTCTTCGTCAGATTCCCAACCTGACAAAGCTGAAGAAGATGAGAAAGGAGATGATGAAGATGAAGAGGAGATGTATGAAACATCATCTTCCAATTCATCATGTTTCCGTTTTAGCATTCCTGTCATGATTAGGATGAGATTTTTTTCTTCTATCTGAGTGAAAACAACAAAAAGAAAAGAAAGCCATGAGTAACAAGTCCAAATCATTTTCAAAGGTATGTTCCAATGTCCAGTGTCACCAGACGGAAAGTTTTTATGAGGTTCTCACTTGCCTGGAAGGCAAGACAGGAAGACAAGGCTTCCTCAACCCAGCCAGCCCTCAACTCTTCAAATGAGCTTAGACTACATCTCCCATCTTCCCCACCTACTAGAAACCCACATTGTTCTCCTTCCAGACATCCATAATCCCTTCACACAGAACCCTGATGCCCAAACTCAATCCAATCTCATTAGGACCATTTTCTCAGGGTCAAGATGGGCTATTGCCAAGTTTGCACCAGTTCAGGCGACAACCCCCCAAATGAGGACTTTACTTTCTGTAGCTTTGTCTAGGACAATGGTGGGAAATGATGGCCCTTTTATGACTGGTGGACTAAGCCAGTCATGCTGGCTGAGGAATTCTGGGAGTTGAAGTCCACAAGTCATAAAGGAGTCCATGGTTCCCCACCTCTGATCTAGGATCACTGTTTCTCAGCCCTTGCATCTGTGCGGATGTGTGGACTTCAACTCCCAGAATTCCTCAGCCAGCTATGGGGAATTCTGGGAGTTGAAGTCCATACATCTTCAGAAGAGCCTTGGTAGTACAGTGGTTTAAAGCACCCTGTTATTAACACAGCTGCCTGCAATTTACTGCTGGTTCGAATCTCTCCAAGGCTCAAGGTTGACTCAGCCTTCCATCCTTTCTAAGGTAGGTTAAATGAGGACCCAGTTTGTGGGGGCAATAAGCTGACTTTGTATAAATATACAAAAGTATGAAGGCTATTGCTTAACGCACTGTAAGCCGCCCTGAGTCTCCGGAGAAGGGCGGCATATAAATCAAATTAAAAAAAAAAAAAAAAGTTGCCAAGTTAAAAAACAACAACAACAGGTCTAAATTAAAAAACAACAACAGTAACAACCTGATATAGACAGACCAAAAACTACAACTAATGACAAATGTGCAATGAGTGGCTTGTTTCTAGGAACGGGTAGTCCTCACATGCTTACATTTCAAAAACGAAAGAGCCAGAAAATCAACCTGCCTTGTGTTTTAATTCAGACTTGTGCAGACGTCCAACTTGTGCAACCTTGGCCCAAACCGAGGGGCGTCAGTGGGGAATGCAACCACCCTAACATAAACACATAGAAATATCTCCTCATCTTGGCTAGGTTTGCCAACAAAGACATTTTGTTCTGATCTTCCAGTTCTTACTCATCTCGTTTGACCGAGAACAGCCTTTATAAAAAAATATATATTATTTTTTTTTAAAAAAACACCCCTAACCAGAAACATGATGAAGCAGATCAAACCCGCAGGAATTCCTCTCTGGCACAGCCACCTCTTCCAATGCTGGGAACATTTTCCGAAAAAATATTCAGGCCAGATGCACATATTTCTCTGATTCGAACATCTCGTTTCCAGAAGGAAGAAGGTGCAGGTCAGAGATGGAAAGGAGGAGAAAGGAGTAGGGGGGGGTATGAGGGGTGTGTGGAAGGACAATGCAATCAGCTCTGAAGTTTGCAGAAATAAGAGGGCTTATAAAGACCCAAATTCTCCTTCTAATCTGCTACAAAGGCAGGATCTTCCAGTGGGAAAAGCTTTTAGGACCCCTTTCAAGTGGTTTGAGGTTGCCCCAAAGGAAGGACGTAGTTCCCCTCCACCATCCATCCACCCCCGAGTAAAAATAAACAGGCAAGGAATTACATTCTGCAGAGAAACCTGCATTTGTGTAACTGCATATTGCCTCAATGTCTGATCCAATGAAGGAAAAACGGAGCGATTTATTTATTTATTTATTTTTTAAAAAAGAACACTGCCCTGCTGTTGTTTGTTAGCATGACTGCGTAGGGCGCAAGAGAGCTAGGGAAAAAGTTGAAAAAGGAATCTCTCCTCTGTGTGTTTCACTTTGGAGGGGATCCTGCACAGCTGAAACTGGATGGCTCTTGATTGGCTCTGCCAGGAGGAAGCTCCTCCTTGTAATCCCCCCCAAAAATGCGAATGTTCCTTTTGGACCAAGGAATCCAGGCCTTCTCAGTTCAGCCAAAATCTGTGCTGCACAACTAATATTTCTCGATTGGCCTGTCAGAGTTAGAACCTGCCTGATGTCCAAGATTTCAAGATTTCTTACCACTTGTTCATCCAGTTTTTCTTACAATACCCCTGCAAGGTTGGCTGGGCAGAGGAACAAGGACAGGGCCAAGACCACCCAAACTTCCTTAATTGAAGGCACACCTTTTTCGCACTGCTAGCATAACGCTCCTATCTCAATCCCAAGCTGGTCATAGATGGGTCTTTTCAGTGGTGGGTTTCAAAATTTTTTACTACCAGTTCTGGGGGTGTGATTTGGTGGGCGTGGCATGGCTTGGTGGGTGTGGCTTGTGGGCGTGGCAGGGGAAGGTTACTGCAAAATCCCCATTTCCTCCCAATCAGCTGGGACTCCGGAGGCAGAGAATAGATGTGAGCAGGGCAAGTCAAAATTTTTATTACCGGTTCTCTGAACTATTCAAAATTTCCGCTACCGGTTCTCCAGAACTGGTCAGAACCTGCTGAAACCCACCTCTGGGCCTTTCTCCTTAGCACCTCTCCACCTTGCAGTCCTGGGAATAGATCTAACAGTCCTCTTCCCTACTATGTTGGCATCACATAAACACATGGACTTCTAAAAATAAAGTTCTTCGTGGATTATCCGAGTCGAGCGCTTTCCCACTAAAAAGAGCACCTTCTGCTTCAAAATTCCAAATTTGCTTCGTTTCGATCCCAGCAGAGACACACGAAAACACAGGGCCCTTGGCAGCGGTGGGCTGCTGCCGGTTCAGACCGGTTCAGGCGAACCGGTAGTTCTGACCATCAGCTGGCCCCGCCCCCGTCCTATCCTGTTCTATATTTCCTTCTTTCTGGCTCAGCTGATTCACGCGGCACAGCTGATTTCCGCCCCTCCACTGTTCTACTTACCGGAGCTGCCGTAGAAGTAAGCAGCTGAGCTTCAAATTGCTGTATTTTAAATCCTGCGCCCTAGCGCATTAGGCGTGCCCGTGAAGTACGTGTGCATGTGCAAAGCACGCGCTCACAGAACCAGTAGTTAAACCGCTTGCAGCTCACCACTGGTCCCTGGGCATGTGCAAAGTGCTTTTCCTTCCACAACACAAATGTTTATTTTCAGGGTTCAGGGGCACCTCTTAAGATTATGATCCCACTCCTTTCTCCTAAAAAAGCAGCCAGCGCCCAGCTGCCTGGATGTATGAAAGCACACTGTGTACATAAGGGAAGTTAAGGACATTTGGCTTCGGAGATTCTTTGGTCTCCTGGTGCCAGCTTGGGCGCAGTCTCAGGAAGCCCAGCCAGCCTCTTTGGCGCTGCTTTCCATGCCGCGGCGCTTTCCAAAGCTGGTTTCAGCTACAGAAGCCATGCCAGCTGTGTGGGTGCTCAGCTTGGGAGCAATGATTTACTACCGAGACTGATTTACAACCAAGGCGCTACTTTGAGAAAGCAACCAACAGGCTGATGGTACCGAACGCACCACCCACATTTCTCCAGCCCTTGGGCTCTTAACAGCCATCTAGTGGGAATCTATTTCCAGACCTCTGTGCCATAAATAACAGCACTCGGTTTCCTGAAGAAACATCCCCAAAAAACAAAAAAGCAAGATATTTCGTTGCAGTTGAGGAAATCTGAATCTTCACGCAGAAAAGTGAGCAGCCATGATTCTGGGTGTAGATTGGAACTCAAGGGTTGAGCATCAGCCGAACCCTAGGAGCCTTGGTGGAGCAGCAGACTACAGTGCTGTTAAGTAGCACTTAGCTGCCAGCTGCCTGCAATTACTGCGAGTTCAAATCTCACCAGGCTCAAGGTTGACTCAGCCTTCCATCCTTCCGAGGTAGGTAAAATGAGGACCCGGTTTGTGGGGGCAATAAGCTGACTTTGTATAAAAAAAAAAAAGAACACCGCTTTGGGGGGGGGGCGAAAGCCCTACTAAGCAGGTATATACAAAAGTATGAAGGCTATTGCTTAATGCATTGTAAGCCGCCCTGAGTCTCCGGAGAAGGGCGGCCTATAAATCGAACCAATAAACAATAATAATAATAAACATGCCTACAGATTCAATCAATGAAAATAGAGCTGGAAGGGACCTTAAAGGTCTTCTAGACCAACCCCCTGCTCAAGCAGGAGACCCTATACAATTTGAGACAAGTGGCTTTCCAATCTCTTCTTAAAAACCTCCAGCACCCACAACTTCTGAAGCCAAGTCATTCCACTGATTAATTGTTCTCACTGTTAGGCAATTTCTCCTTAGTTCTAGGTTGCTCTTCTCCGTGATTAGTTTCTATCCGTTGCTTCTTGTTCTACTCTCAGGTGCTTTGGAAAATAGGTTGACCCCATCTCTTTTGTCCCAGCCCCTCAAATATTGAAACACTGCTATCATGTCATCCCTAGTCCTTCTTTTCTCTAGACTAGCCATACCCGAATCCTTCTTCATAACCGTTCTTCATATGTTTTAATCTCCAGGCTTTTAATCATCCCACTGCACTTTTTCCAAGATTAACTTTGGAGAAGTAAGACGAAGGAAGACAGAAGACAAGACCAGCTTTGGCAGGAAAAAAAATTTCACTCAACCAAGCAAGGACCATTTTCTTATGTTCTATCTAGACATTCACCCATCTACACCCTGAAAACGCAGAGGTTTGCAAGCTATAGGTAGTCCTGAACTTACAAAGGTTCGTTTAGTGACCATTCAAAGTTACAAAAACACTGAAAAATGTGAGTTATGACCATTTTTCACACTTATGAACCATTGCAGCATCCAGTGGTGATGTGATAAAAATTCAAATGCTTGACGACTGGTTCATATTTATGACGATTGCAGAATCCCGGGATCACGTGATAATTTTTTGCGACCTTCCGACAATCGAAGTCAATGGGGAAGCCAGATTCATTTAACAATCATGATACTAACTTA